ATTGAATTTTACAATCTTTGGAGTAACTTGAAGACCAGGGAAGGGCAATGGAGACAGAAAGCTAGGAAACAATGGTTGAGAGAAGGAGACGCAAATTCCAAATTCTACCACAAATGTATTAGCAGTAGACAACGCAGGAAAGAGATTGTCAGTATCCAGGTAAATGGGAAGAAGTTAGAAGATGTTGATAATATCAAAAATAGCATATCAGAGTACTTTGAAAATCTGTTTAAAGAAGAAGAATGGAAAAGGCCGAATATGGATGGCATTTCTTTCAAACAAATTTCCCAAGCCCAGAATGATCTATTGTTATGCCATTTAGTGAAGATGAAATCAAAACAGCAGTGTGGGATTGTGGGAGTGACAAGGCTCCAGGACCTGATGGTTTCAATTTCACTTTCTTCAAGAAAATGTGGAGTGAAATAAAGGATGATATAGTGGAATTTGTCCAGGAATTTCACAAGAATGGGAAGTTAGTAAAAGGCTTGAATGTTTCTTTCTTAACATTGATTCCAAAAGTGAAGAATCCACAGAGAATTGAGGAGTTTAGGCCTATTTCACTCATTGGCTCCCTGTACAAAATTGTTGCTAAATTGCTTGCTAATAGGCTGCGCTCAGTAATAGCTGACATTATCGGGGAACATTAGTTGGCCTTCATTGAAGGTAGGCATCTATGTGAAGGATTTGTCACAGCAAATGAAATTATTGATGAAGCTAAGAGGAAAAAGAAGAAGAGCTTTGTTTTCAAAGTAGACTTCGAGAAGGCTTTCGACAAGGTGAATTGGAACTTCCTTGATTATATGATGATGAGACTTGGGTTTAATGAAATATGGAGAAAATGGATCATGGAGTGTCTTCAAACGAGTTTATTGTCGGTGTTGGTCAACGGTAGCCCATCTAAACAGTTTCTTGTCTCAAGGGGATTAAAGCAAGGAGATCCATTGTCTCCCTTCCTATTCCTGATCGTTGCAGAAGGATTGAACAAAATAATCAATACTGCAATTGATAGAGGATTGTATGAAGGAATAAAAGTGGGGAATTCGGGCATGCGATGCTCTCACATCCAATTTGCAGATGACACAATCATTTTTGGGGAAGCTTCAGAAAAAAACATCCAGGTTGTGAAGTGCACTATGAGAGCTTTTGAGCTTGCCTCAGGTCTAAAAATTAATTATCATAAAAGTCAACTCATGGGTATCCATATTGAGGCTGAATGGATGCAGGAAATGGCTTGGATACTTAACTGTAAAACTGGAGTTTTGCCCTTCAAATACTTGGGAGTCCCAGTGGGGGGAAATCACAGAAAACTTAGCATGTGGCTACCATTAATTGAATCTTTTCAAAAGAAGTTGCTGAACTGGAAGGCTCGTTGGTTATCTTTCGGAGGTAGAATTACCTTCCTCAACTCTGTGCTCACATCGCTCCCAGTCCTCTTCTTGTCCATTTATCTCACTCCCAAAGGTATTGTCAAAACTCTTGATAAAATTAGGAATAAATTTCTATGGGGTGGATGTGAGGAGTCTAGGCAAGTGCATTGGGTTAATTGGAAAACAGTCTGTATTAGTAAAAGGGATGGGGGGCTTGGGGTTAAGGATCTTAGACTTTTTAATCAGGCATTACTTGGAAAGTGGTGGGGTAGATTGGCCAAGGGTTCTTCCAGGTTGCTTTTTAACCTGATTAAAGAAAAATATGGGTATGAGGGTGGAAATTGGTGTAATTGGGTAAAAGAAGGGAAGAGCACAGGGTCCAATTGGTGGAAGGATTTGTGCAGGCTAGATGTACTAGAGGAGAATAGAAGGGGTTGGCTGTCTTAGGGCTTCCAAATTAGGATCGGTAATGGAGAGAAAGTTAGTTTTTGGAAGGATTCATGGAGTAATACTGGAGTGCTTGCTAATGTTTTTCCGAGATTATATATGCTTTCTACAGGGAAAGACAACACAATTGATGAGATGGGTAGATGGGAAGACAACAAATGGGTTTGGAACCTTCCTTGGAGACGCACCCCACACTCTTGGGAGCAAGATTCCATGCAAGATTTCAACAAGCTTCTCAAGGAGACCAACCTGACCATAGGGAAGGAAGACACTTGGACCTGGGAACGAGATCAGTTGGGTGATTACTCTACAAGCTCAAGATACACTGCTTTGGTCCAACATCAACCCTCACCATACCGAAAAGTTTTTGAGAAGATTTGGAACCCCCTTATTCCTCACAAAGTCTATGGATTCACTTGGTTACTACTACTTGATAGGATTCCCTCAAAATTCAACTTGTTGAAAAGGGGATTAATTAAGGAGATGGAGGCTGTTAAGTGTAGCCTTTGTGGACGGAATGTGGAAGAAAGCAACCATCTTTTTCTCCACTGCTCAATTACTGCAAAAATCTGGTCAATGTGCTTTGAATGGTGGGGCTTCTCCACTGCCATTGCTGGTTCATGTTGGGATTCTTTCATCCAACATGAATCCTTAGCTACTAAAAGTAGTGAACGACTAGGTTGGATTATAGTGTGGTTTTGTCTTGTCTGGACCATCTGGACTACCAGGAATGAGGTAATCTTTAGAGGTAAATCGATGGATTTGACAAAGACTTTCGATCAAGTTCAAGCTCAAGCCTTCCTCTGGGTCAAGAGCAAAGGAAAGGAAGTACATTTCTACTTCTCTGACTGGATCTTAAACCCTAGGTGCTGCAAACTTTTGTAAATGGGTCTCCCAACGCTATACTGTTTTTTGGTTCTTCATTCTATTAGGGATTGACTAATGTATACAGGTTTGGGTACCCCTTGTACTCATTCAATTAAATCTTTTGCCTTTTGAAAAAAAAAAGGAAAAAAAAAAGATATTGCATTAGATCATCTGACTTGAAGTGTCTGGAACCTAAAACCAAAGAACATCACAAAAAGAACTATTAGATTGCAGTTAAGAAACTACCACCCGTAATCACATAACCTTTTCAAATACTACAACAAATAAGCCTGAAAAATGTCCTTTTCTTTTTTTTTTTTTCGAAAATAGGCAATGAAGCATGAAAAATGCTTAGAGCCTGGTAATGCCCGTTCACTTTTGTTCTATTCCGAGTTTTAGTAGTGAAAACCAGATAGAATGACAAATTTGTGCATGATTTAGTCAAAAAGGCCTAAATCTTCACTAAATTGCTACCAAATTAATTTACCTTTGTAGTTGAGACATTTTATTTTAGATAATTCACAATAGCTTGTCAAACACATAAAAATGTACGCGCTTAGACTTTGATTAAGTATAATCAAAGTAATGAACCAATCAAAGGGTAAGTATAGGAAGAAACAAAAAGATTTGCTACCGAAGACTTGGCACGGCTTACACCTA